TAAGATAAGCGACCAACTGTGAATTGCTGACACATTGACTATCTGCAGATGCCACAATGCGATTGCAACAGAAGACCTACCGCCCTCCCTGCTCCAGACGTTGAATGGTCTTTCGGAGTACAAATCACACACACACATATATTGGAAAAAGTGAAAATTACTCCAAATGTCAAGCTCTGTTGACGAAGAATGATCTACATTCAAAATGCAATATTTCATGAATCTGATCTTATATCTGCTTCAGAGCAGGCGGTGGGAGTTGACAGTGACACGCTGTTATAAGGCACTTCGTTAAACTTAGACAGAGGCCTGAAGTTAGCTAATATTTGCACGGCTTCATCTTTCGACGTCCATGTCTGCATCTAGACTTTTGATTCTCCGAAGGAAACTTTAACGTTTATGAATATAAAACATGTTTTATTTTCAATAGTATAAAATATCCAAACTGCACATACATAATAAATACAATGCTGTTATGAGATCAATTATATGAAACGGATACAAGATGACGAATACGCCACGATTCATTCAAACTGTTTGATAAAAACAAAAGATTTAAAATATTCACAGTGTTGTTCTAAACATAATAACTGCAACTAACATGTAAAGAGAACTATCGATGGGTTATATTCAAGCATATGTCATTTGTAAGTTTCCTCGCAATAGCATTAAACAATTTTAATTTTTTTTTTTTGGTTTGTGTTTCAACGCCGCACTCAGCAATATTCGAGTTATATGGCGGCGGTCTGAAAATAATCTGGACCAGACAATCCAGTGATTGACATGAGCATCGATCTACGCAATTGGGATCGATGACATGCATCAACCAAGTCAGCAAGCCTGACCACCCGATCCCGTTAGTCTCCTCTTACGACAAGCATACTTAATCATTCTATCAGTTTAATTATTATTGAGTGAGTGAGTGAGTGAGTTGGTTTTAACGCCGCTTTTAACTGTGTTCAAGTTATATCACGGCGTGTCAGCTTAATGTGAGAGAAAAGCCCGAGGTGATGCAGGTCTCAGACGTGTACCACTTCGGTGAAACCCACGAGCACGGGTATGGTGCTGACAAACCTAGAAACATAATCGTAGCGAACCGGGATTCGAACCCACAATCATAGGTTTCTGGCGTGCCCAAGGGACGCAACTCTGCACAGCGAATCGCGGCGCCTTAGATGACTGGGTCACCCGTGCTCCAAGTAATTATTGAAAAAATGTTGGAACAATGGTACAACATAATGAATGAATCACATTATTTCTAATGATGCAACACTATTCATATTTTCATGAACTCGATCAACCGGAGTCCAAAGCTACAGTAAGAATATACAATTATTCACATAGTAGTTGAACCAATTTTGTATTTGTCAGCTCTACTGTTGATGGATTAAAGAAATAAATATCTAACAAAAACAAGCAAGAAGTAACGGAAACCTGATCTTGTGGATCTAAGACTGGCTTAATAAGGGTTGCCAGACTGAAGAGAATGTTACATTTTCGTGATCAGTTCTACTTTCTGGTGCCATGATGTAATTTTGAACATATGTATTTCTCATATTATTCACCTAAATGCTTGGTATTGGCTCAGTCACATCCGCCTCACGCATAGAAACACTATTTATTCTTGGCAATACTCTTGGCAACATTCATATCATCGACACTATCAAAAAATAGTTGAGTTATTTAAATTGTTTAAAAAGTACACAATTGTTATATGCGCGGTGTTTCCGATCTAGCCCTCTTCACAAACATTTCCGTGTACTTATAATAAAAGATGTCATGATAATTTTAATAGATGCATGGCCGATGACCTTTATCAAATCACATTATTAGAATCGGAGCATCGTATATACAGAAGATGTTCTGAGTATTGTAGTGTCAACACTATAACTCCTACAATGTTGTTTAGGGTAAACCAGTTCCAAAGGAGAAGCGTTTCTTTGATGTTTCCTCAAGATGTATTGTAACAGGATAGCATATGTGGCGTGGTACACCTTTTGACACGTTGGTTTTAATCGCATCGTATCTTGGTAGACCTGTAGACCCATCTGAAATTTCTCGCAAGCAGTAACAGCTGTAGCATAGAATGAACTCTTTCGTGAGCTTGCTGAGGATGCACCACAAGAGTTCCAACTTTCTAAACATACATGATTGTGGATCAAGCCCTAATTCAAGACGACACCGTTGTACCGAGAGACATTTACATGTCTACAAAATGCCTCTCAGTCGAGCATGTTCGAAACCCGATATTAAACTTGTTTACCGACAATGTTTCAGTTAGTCGTTGGCGATATACAGACTCTAGTCCTATCAACGCTTTTAACCATATATAAATCACCCCTGGTAGCATTTCACACTAACCTAAAGACACTTCCGAAGCCGTTGTAATGATTTAATAAGAGATCACGTCAGAGACTAAGCATACAAAGTCCACTAAGTGTCTTCTTGAAAAAGGTTCAGATTATCAAATGCTTTTAAGCGAACGTTGCCATAGGTCGTGTACTTTCTTTATAACGTAAGCTTCATGTATAACGACCGTCATACTATAGGTGCTCATCACGTCTCCCTGGTGAGTTTCTATAGAGATTGCCCTTGCATCCGTGTTTATGTTTTAAGTACAATACTGGATGTAGATTACGTACACACGAGTATCAGTTGAACAGCCGCTCAGAGCACTATTAGTTGCAACATTATGTACGGATAAAGAAGACGATGATGTGGATAATGTTATGTTCGTATATTGTGTAACCAAACTTTGGATAGCATATGTATAGGACAAAGAGGAGTTATTTCATGATTATTCAACGTATACGTGGTCATGTAACATGTGAACTATGCAACAATAGAATTTAGAAGTGATACACATAAGGATGAAATATATGGATGTCAACTTCTTTATTGTGAGGAACACAACGTATATGCTTACCCCTCATCAGGTGAATGAAGGAGTAAGCATACACACCGGAACGTTGTGTTCCTCATAATAAAGAAGTTGACATCCATATATTCTCTACCTTAATGTAATTCCAGTTCCCCGTAACATTTCTGTAAAAGGCAATCAATACAAGATGTGTGGATCAGGACCTTCTGTCAAAACTAATTCATTATATTTATGGTGTAAATTGAATATGATAGATAATCGGCCATTAAAATCATTAATCGCTGTATTAAAGGTCATCCCGACATCAACGATTGTCTCTAAAACCAGCTTTTGTCAATAGCTTTTATCAGTCGCCATAGTCGTTCACTTATTCTTCGAATACAGGTTGAATGAAACAATTGAATGTCATACACCAGAAACATGAACTAACATTCACCATGATTACGAACTTCTGATTATCCTCATCATCCAACAACGTCAGTATCATAGTCGGTACATGTATCTTCGCCGCCCAGCATCACTGATAGCGAGAGACACCATTGCAGTGCAACAATTCAGTGATCATTACGGAGACATAGATAAAAGGTGGAAAGCCTGGACCAGTGCAAATGTTTACCTGCAGTTTCTGTGAGCTATGTAAACATCAATCTGATGTGACTGTCGAGGTTTCCTTGATTCATGGTTGCCATTTTGGGTACATTGGACATGTAACCAAACACATCCCTCCACCATTGCAATCTTAACTCCCAATTACTTGTCAAATGTGTCCACATAGAACATTAATTTTTGTCATGCATTTATTTCATATCATATCTGGGCAAATTTGCTCACATCACTACTTCCACGTCTGATTAAGTCCAAAGAGAAATATAATAGATGTGCTGTCTCGTCTAGCTCATGATGGGGTGAAATTGGTTGCACTTCTCTACACTATGAGGTATATGAGCTCTCTACAGGTCATTAATTAACTGGTTTGGATCAATCTAACGCCATACTTCGAGCGTGCAATTGACACAGACAAGACAAGAAGCTCTGTGTATTTGCACAGTCAATTTGAGAAATGGGATTATCAATATCTAATTTCTATCATCGTCCATGTGAGAAGGTTTCGGATTTAATTTCCAACATAAATCAGTAATCTGGTCGATGAAAAGAGTATGACATTGGCATGGAAATGAAAGACCGTTTCCGCTGGCTGCGCGATATCAACAACACGAAGTGTGTATCACGGAGAGACAGCGACTCGTTCCTCACACCTTGACAGCTCTCTCTGTAGGGTGTAATTTGTAATTGGAATAAATCTGTAGGAATAAGGAATGTATTGTGGATTAAACACGAGACGTTCCATTAAGAAAACACATCAGAGTATATTAACCTTAACAGTCTCTATCAATGGTGTGTTGCTGACGCGATGTTCTTGAACAAAGCTATCATTATCGTTTTCACACATGGCAGAACGAACGCTTTGGATACACATCTTTTACATTGACGGCTGTACCTGCTGTGGGTTGTTATAGAGTTGATGAAAGTGTGGTATGAGGACTGTTTATCTATAATTGATATCTATTTGTATTTAACAGTAGCTGCACAGGTAAAGTGCTGATCACGACGACAGACTAAACAGTCAATGGCAATAATTGGGAGAGTATTGATTAGGATTTATCTCCAATAACGAGGTCCAATCGTGTTATTTGCATTACCCTAGTTTGAATTTAATATATAGAATTCACAATTTGGTTGCAATTGAAGATTGCACAGGAAATGAAGATGTATGTTTTAATCTATCCAAAGAGTCGAGAAGTTAGACCAATTTAGATACATACACAGTATGTACCAGAAAGCTTATTATAAACGACATGTAAATAGGATGTTGATAGCGTATCATCGGGTAATGAAAGGGTATATATACACAATATATGCATTATTTCATAGTTACTGTATTTGAGGTTCGTGCTTTATAATGATAAACCAAATAAATTGTGTCTAATACAACTTGTGGTGCACATGTATCACATTTGCTTTCAAGCGGTGCCGAGCTAGACAGGTACGGCCCAGCATTTCATTGTTTCCTAACGCCGTCGGCAACATCAAAGCAACAGGTGTTAAGCGTTCTACTTACCTGAGTGTTGAGCGAGGCATAGGTGTATCATCACAAACAAGACACACAGCATCTTCGTCGACATCTCTAGAGGATGGCTTCATCCAAGAGCTCCGTGCTCTTTACAAATGTCCACGAATAAACTTCCAAATCACATTTGTCTTACCATTGACAGAGCAGTCAGCACCTACTTCAATCTAACCAATCTCTGTTTTATAAATCCGACGTAGCGCCCCCTTACGGCGCAGAGTGAAGCGGAGGAAAAGTCTACGCTGTGTCTTTTTTCAGCTATGAAGTTGATACGTGAATTCGCTTGGGTCTTTTAGCACAGATTCGAGTGACTGTAAATGGAATTGGGAGCGCAAAGGAAAAATCCGTGCTACAAATCGACAGAGGAAGTCTATATTGTTTCCCTAATGTTCACTTATCGATACAGCCAATATCTCAACGGGAGCGGGCATTGAAGGCGCGAGATTGAGTTCTCTCGCTTTCTTCATTTAATCAGGGAGTAATATAAGATTCCAGACTGCAGCCTGGCAAGCTAGGTATGACAGATTGCTCGGGGCAGTCAGCGTGGGAAGACCAAAGGCGTTGCTATCTTTGCACCCGCTTTTGTGTCCCCCAGTGAGAGCGTGCCACGTCACAGTGAAATACTGCACGGGCCTTTGCCGCGCCTCTTCCGCCTCCTCGTTATAAAGCGCTTCTTCTGTCAGCTGTTAGGAGATAAAACAGTACGTTGTGAGGTGGAATAGCGTTTTCAGATAAAAGACTTGCCGGTTGTATCTTCCGACACAAGAGCATAACGTGCCGACGTTTCCATTACTGCTGCTTGGTGTGGACCTTAATTCCTACTCCTGGCAGTGGGCGACAGGAAAATATTGTTTATGTTTAAATATAAACATTAGTAACATTAATAAACGTACTGATTTAATTTGTAAAGATGCCATTGCTTTGGATTCTTATCAAATAAAAACATAAAAAAATATATAAATAAATAAATAAATAAATAATACTAATGTCTTTGTAGCTCATTCGTGTATGGCTGTGACAAATATTACTTAAACAAATTCAGTCGCCATGTCATTAGCAATAAACGTTACGTTAATTTTCTCCAAAGGTTCCGTAACAGAATCTTACAACTGTTTCATCTTAGACATTTTGATATACCCATTCGTAGATCTTGTTTGTGATGAATGTGATACAATATATGGAAGTCACCCTTTTTCAAATACGAAGTAAGTCCAGCTACCGTAGGCAGCTTGGGTTCTATACTCCCCAGGACGTTGAGAATCTAGAATGCAAACGGATCAATTGTCGGAGAACAATTAAAATCGCATTTGAGCAGATAGTAGTATCTGGGTACCTGCGGTATATAAATGACTACTACTACTACTACTACTACTACTACTACTACTACTACTACTACTACTACTACTACTGCTATTACTACTACTACTACTAATAATAATAATACGGAGTTATTGACCATTTCGTGGAAGGTCAGGCCTATACGTTCTTAGGGATGCAGATTAGGGACAAACTCCAGAATGCCCATATCAAGGAAAAACTCCGGGCAGAGTACAAATATAGAATCAAGAAAATCTGGAGTTCAGAGATGAACGCTCGCAATTAAGTTAAAGCCACAAATACTTATGCTGTACCCATCTTTTCATATTCTTTTAGTGTTGTTGAATGGACAAAGCAAGAAAGTCAGGGTACTGACAACCTCACACGAAGAATCATGTCAGACAACAGATCCCACCGCTCTCCCTTCAATCACCTATATTTACCAATCATTATGGGAGGGCGTGGTTTGGTTAATGTCGGGCTCTTCATGACAGAATTGTTTTGTGCACTTTTGCACACATTTATTTGTCTGATGATCCTCTTGTGAAGCATGTCAGGACTCATGATGAAAACAAGGCATTCCACAGTTTTCGTAAACGAGCCAAGGATGTGGGACATAATCTCCATTTCAGTGTTGATTTTGTTGATGGTTCTGTAGTGCTGGACGGTACAGAAATGAGTGTCAACCAAGCGAAGTGCCATATCAAGTCGTTGAATTTTCTGTCCCTTTTGACAATAATGTGATTGACAAGATTCAGCAAAGTCATGACAAATATGTAGACCTCGCTTTATATCATTTAAATATCAACTATGTGGATACTACCAATACAACAAGCTGGGGTTTTGAAGTGGTAAGCTTCCGAGACCTGCATCACTTCGGGGTTTGCTCCTACTTTAAGCTAGCACGTCCTATAACTGAAATACCATTTAAAGTCCAATTGAACTCATTCATTCAAGAACGCTGAATTCGAAATAGTGTAACAGGACATGCATAAGATATTTGAGTAACTCTGTATCCTTGAAACACAATGCCTAATAGTCGTTTTTACAATTTATTATTTATGGACAGCGAATGGGACTTCTCCCAGAAAACGCTGCCTAGTCGAACCCACTGTGAACCAAACTTAAGGCACCAACAACAATGGGGAGTCGGGCAACTTGGTACTTGGGATGCAAGCGTGACATTTCGAAAGCGATGTCTGCGTATTTGCCATGTTTTCCTGAATCTTGTCAATCACATTAGTGTCAAAAGGGACAGAGAATGATATAAAGGACAAGATCAGGTTTGTTGGCCTGGATACGTCTAAGGCTGTATACGAGCCTATTCCAAAGAATTTTATATTCATCATTTTCCATGACGCCCTCTACATATTCCGGGTCGTACCATGGATGGGCCTCTATGTCAAAACCACAAGCATGGCGAAGACGGTAATAAAATGATCGAGGCACTCCATCATGTCGCTTACGATACTGTGTTAGTACCAAAGCTGGGCATCCACTGACAATGTGTTGGACAGTCTCATTAAATTCATTGCATGATCTACATTTCATATTTACATTTTGATGCAAAATCACAAATTGACAGTTTCGTTTGGGAAGTCACTGGTCCTGAGCAGCAAACAGAAAGGCTCCTGTTTCACTTTTCAAGCCTGCCGACTTCATCGAAGCAAAGGGCTCTGCAGGGTTGCTGCTCTTCTGAACACACAGGACATAAGCTCGATGCAGTGGTTGTTCAGTTGGCCTCTCTGAAAAAAATTAAGTCTGGACCGGTTATTATTATTATCGTTCCAAATACGAAAAACTGCATGCCAACTTATATATAATATTTTTCGGATATTTAGTCCTATTCTTTTACTGAAAATGAGAGATTTTTGGACTTCCTGTTTTTCTCTACAAATTTTCCCTTAAATTAGTGATAAACAAACTCACCGTTCATGGCCAATGAAACTTGGACAGAAACCGTGGTTAACGTCATATCAACAGGATGAAACGTGACCAAAATAGAATAATGTCTTGATCTCAAATTTCTAATCAACGACAATCAGATGGAAAATAAACACAAATCTTCGATGTCTTTGTTTAACAATGGTCGTACATTCTTAAAAGATAGTGCCACTAATCCTGAAAGGTTTTCAATCCACATTCGGGTTTGTTTGGAACAGAAATGTTTGGCAACGATAAGAATATTCAAGATGTCAAAAAGGCCAGGAGTATGAAAATATGCCAGATTTATGTGATCGCTCCATCATCTCTCAGTGTTCCAAATTGAAATCGTAGCAATGTAAGTATTTGTGTTTGATTTTTACAGAGCAGTCGGTCAATCTATTAATTTTATGCCATGCACTTTACTTCTAGATGTCGTCAAAAGCAAACTTAATTTCATTCAGTTTTTCTCTGCCAACATTATTTCGAAGGAAGGGCAGAACATTTATATTTAAACAAACTCATTTATGTGACCAGATGTGCATCACAATTGATATTTGTGTGGTTGAGAAAAACATTGATCCATTTGATACCACTGATTAAATAAATTGAAATAATTTTGTATTTTCGTCTATTTTTACGATCGTGTTCATTCCATCTCAAAACCGATCAAATATACAACTATCATTGTGATAATGTTCTATAGTGAGTGAGTATGGTTTTACGCCCCTTTAGCAATATTCCAGCTATATCACGGTGGGGGACACCAGAAATGGGCTTCACACATTATATCCATGTCGGGAATCGAACCCGGGTCTTCGGCGTGACGAGCGAACGCTTTAACCACTAGGCTACCCGACCGCCCCCTTATAATGTTATATATGAAACCATACTTTCATAGCTATATATAGACCATCATATTTACTGTACCTTAAACGTTTTCAGCCTATTTTAATTACGGCGATTGCAGTTTTCCTGCATGCAATATACGAGTGATACTTTGAACCGTACAGTATTCCACTATATCCTATAACTTCATGTTTCGTATGTATCGTTAACACCAACTCGACTTTGCAGGATTATTTCGCAGCGCGACCTCCACTGAAATTTTCACACAATGCGTGAATAGTAGTTACAAATCCTGCTCGCTCTGTTATGCTTTTGCTGTGTACATTATGGAAGTTATTTATTCAGTTAATTCAATCGTGCATTATTGCCTCATTTTTGAAATATGATATTGCAGTTATGAGATAAATATTTACCTTGTTATAAAACAATAACATCGACTCGTAACCAGAATAACAGAAAGTATTGCTTTTGTTCAAAAATAACGCAGTGATTCTAGTGCATATGAAGCCTAGTGGAGCGAAATGTTGTAACATAATATAGCCAAGTCTGCGCTTAGTAACATGAACACGCAAAGATTCGTTGAGAATCACCAGGTAACATTACAGTGGAACCCACACCTGTTCCTTGTGATAAACCATACAACCGAGGATTTTGAACCTTTATATAGAATGACATCCACATATAGCAACTTCTATTGATTTCTATATGAGACTGATCAGTTATAACGTATACTCCTGATGGAAATTTACTCTATTTCAACATCGAGATTTTTGCTGTTTACGTACTATTGGTCGGCCGGCAGTGAGGTTTTACGCCACTTTTGCATGGAATATCACGACGGGGTTACCAAGTACGGGCGGGTCATGGGCTAAGATTTTGTTCATGATGGGAATCGTTAAATTGTTAAGATGAAATGTCAGGAACATATACAGTTTACACACTAACATACATGAAGGCACTTCAACAGAAAGATGCACCCTGCAACATATACGGAGGTCTTCAGCAATCCATGCTTGCCGTAAAAGGTGACTATGCTTGTCGTAAGAGGCGACTAACGGGATCGGGTGGTCAGGCTCGCTGACTTGGTTGATGCATGACATCGATCCCCATTGCGTGGATCGATGCTCATGATGTCAATGACTGGATTGTTTAATCCAGACTCGATTATTTACAGACCGCCATCATATAGCCGGAATATTGTTTAGTGCGGCGTTAAGCAACAAACAAACTTATGCAGATATTTAAATATCCGTGGGGATACCGCTTTAAAAGTTGGACACCAGCAAACTGCTAGTCTTAATTTTGGTGAGTGTGTGTCATGGAACTACGGTGGCTCATAATCTCAATCAAGGGAATGTCTGGTCCAGATTCGATTATTTACAGCCCGCCTTCATACAGCTTGAATATTGCTGAACGTG